TGTTTTATGAATAGGCTTTGGAAAAATATACAACACACTTTGCTTTTCTTTTTTTTTCCCCCAGTCACAGTCTTCAAAGTTTCCTTTACGATAACCAAAAACCATTAGCTGCTGTCAAACCCAGGAGAAGAGAGATTATTTTTTTTATTGAAATAAGATTAAAATGATAACTTTGACTGCGGCCTCCACCTGATAAAATATTTCAGCTCATAAGCGTGGTGTAGGCACAGGGATTAGAGCAGAGGGAGAGAGAGAAATTCATAATGTATAATAAGACAAAAGGTGTCATGGGAAATAACACTGATATTAAAATTAGAAAATGACGCAATCTATATGAAAAATGCAGATTTAAAAATGTAAATGATGATCTAGTATTTCTTAGAACAAAAGTATCAGAAAAGTAAGAGCCGTAGAGGTGTCAGTCAGATGGCTCGCTGGTCTGTGACCGTTCGGTTTGTTTTAACTTGAATAATTAGAAGAGCAAGTACTTCTAAAACTATTTTTAAAAAGTTTCTGTTTCTTCTATAATTATTGCACACATGGCTTTATGGCTTAATATTGATTGACAGACTGTATAGAACATTTGTACTTTGCAACCATTTCTCTCACCGTAGCTCTTTAAAAATACAAATGTTAGTCATGTAAAAAAAACAGTATTATTTAACCTCTTCGTGATAGGTCATACTGCTATATTCTAGTGCATCATTTTTTTTTCTGAATGTCTAAGTGACATTTGACAAATTGAGATTCTTGAAATGGAAAGTTCAATATTGCCAGTTTCAGGACAATTACAATAAATTTACAGTAAATTATAAATATTTAAGATTGCGAAACAACAGGTGCACAGGCTTCTGAACTTCCTGGACCTCTTCTAGGTGCATAAGCAATGCACTGATGTGAAGTGATGAACTATAAGCTGGATGATGAACTATAATGAGGACACAGGGGGACCAGAATCCCGTAATAACTCATTTTCAAAAATATTCAAGGTTAATAGGTGGCATTGGGCACCAATCTTGTAAATGTAAACCTTGTCTATAATGAAATAATGACCTGAATGCGATTAGCATACTGTGGTACACAGAAGGGAGATTGACACCACATGGGGGACATTGCGGAAAGAGATACTTCCTTTTCCGTGGGGTAACACCTCAGGAATGAGGTGAAGGAGGACAGGCTGTTGTGCTGTTTTCAAGACGACACTTTCCATTTCCAAAGCATCTGTGTCCTGTCATTTAAATTGATCTGACCTTGAAACTATGTTTTTGGCATTTACTGTACCTTACTTCTGGAACTAAACTTTTAGCATTTCTCATTAATAGCTTATCTGTATAAAAATGTGCACAATAATAATTTGATGTTATTATAATTTATATAATTATATTTATTTCTGTGCATATTTTTACACATATTGTGCGTGTGTGTGTGTGTGTGTGTGTGTGTGTGTGTGTGTGTGTTTGTGGTCCTGGTAAACCCTACGTTGGGGGGACCGAAACCCCACAAAGATAGTAATATCAGACATTTTTGACCTTGAGGGGGCAGGGGGAGCATTGCCCCCCCTGGTGGCTGAAACCCGTTAAATTTTTTTTTTGCATTGTTAAAAAATATATATATTATAAATATTTTAAATAACACAAAACAACTAAATGGTGGTAGGTAATACACATCTGATTTTATATACTGCTTTAGTAAAAAAAAACTGCAATGGAAACTGTTTTGCGCATTTACAGTCAGCTGACTTAGAGAAGATGCGGGGATAATAATAATAATAATTATCATCATTATTATAACATTTATTAGGCTACATATGCAGAAGACGCTTATCAAAAAAAAGGAACAAAGCAATTCGTCACATATCATTCATAATACAGGGCTAAGATGATCACAAATAGGCTAAACAAGATTTTGACGCATTTCCAAGTGTGTGTGCGGAATGTGGAGCGCGCACTGGATGGCACGGAGGCGCGGGGCGCGGGCGCGAACACTTGCATTTTCCTATCAACAGTGGAAACAACTTAAAATAGGCTAGCCTACTCTATCATTTCTGGTCATACAGAAAATAATAATACATTATTCGCAACTACTTTTATTTGTGTACACTCACAATAACAAGAAAATGTTGTGCTTTTGTAAAATAAAATAAAACAATCAGGCGCGCTTCATGGTCTCCGTGAACTAAAGCGCTATAACTGAAACAAAATAGCCTAAGCTAAAGCTTGAAATGTCCACTTTAAAACGAACAAATTCGAATCAAAAGCTAATACCTTCTGATTATGTAATCCGTATGAGAGGTGCATTTCTCTCTAAAGGTGCATCCTTACAGCGGAGATGGAGATTTTTTATTAATAAACAATTAAAATGCCTTATTTTTTCACACACATTTATTAATTATTATAGCCTATAACTCACCTATAAATCCCCTTTCTTTAGCCTGTGGTTATCTTCTCATGCAGCACTACGGGAAAAATATAATTTCCAGGTTCTAATTTGGCCTTAGAAAACCAGTTAAATCTAATTTCTTTTTCATATTAATTTGTCAATATTTTACATGTTTAATAAAGGGGCAAAAAGTCATAAACAAAAATCTGAAAATTCTTCCATATTAATTATTTTGCGCAGCATTTGGTGTGTAGCAGTTCAAATTAAAATTTTGGTGTTCGACTTTGCGTTTTAAAAATACAACCGTTTATTTTTCGTTTTGCAATTACGGGTTAAATAAGGAAAAACGAATGGACACAAAAGTACACTGACCGTTTGGACATAATACGAGACAGAGTTCTTTATTAAATTCATAAAAGAAACAATAATTACAGGAATACTGGATTCTAAACCTCAAAGAAATGCCACAATCAAGACCTCGGAGCAGAAATGAGGGAGAACCAGCCAGGAACTCTTAGGCTATAGGCTATGTGCCGTTCGCAGTATAAGGGTCTGCCATTAATGCTTGGATAACACCACGTCTCCTTCCATTAATAATAATAATGTCTAGTGCGGTGGCTGTGATATAGCCTAGGCTTTAAACCTACCATCCGTTTACCATGATTTTTGGAATGACTTATCGCGAGAGGAAAAAAATACATTTTAGTCGCATAACATCGGTTAATTAATGGAAACGCCGTAATTTCGCAATAGTTTTTTTATGGACATTTAGAAAAAGTCGCAAAGGTTTTGCGCAAATCTGTAATGGAAACGCGCCTAATGATTACTACATGAATGAATGAATGCTACAATGATTTTTTTTTTGCCCCCCCTGGCTCGAATGTCAAACTCCGCCTATGGTGTGTGTGTGTGTGTGAGAGAGTGTGTTTGGATGGTAAACCCTATGTTCTACGTATCCTACGTTACACAAAGATAGTAATACCAATATTTGTTGTAACCTTTTTTTTCCTCATGAGGAAAATGGCTTATAAATCAACTTTTTTTTTAACTAATACATTTTTGGTTTGTCCTACAGAAAACAAAGAAGCATTGTCTTCTTTTCTAACCCCTACAATTTTGTAGTCATCTGACTGTGTTTTATCTATGTGAACATTACAACTCTTATTTAGTCTGTATCAAATGATTCATAATTTATAAAACCTGGCTCGAGTAATGTGTTTAAGAGGAAGCATTTCCGAAGGAGTAAGAATATGAGGAGGCCATTTAGTGGATAAAGGAGGAAGGCTGTGTTTGATACAAGCCTCCCAGAGGGGCTCTCTGACACCAAACAATGTACCAAGTTCAAGTTCCAGCCACCAGCTTCTGAAAGATGACCTAGCATATGTCCTCGATGACCAGATCATGAAGGTCAGTGAGCAGTCGAGAAGACGTCAAAATGCTTTCCATAGATAGATAGATAGATAGATAGATTTTTAATCTTTGATGTAATCAATCTTTCTTTCTTTCTTTCTTTCTTTCTTTCTTTCTTTCTTTCTTTCTTTCTTTCTTTCTTTCTTTCTTTCTTTCTTTCTTTCTTTCTTTCTTTCTTTCTTTCTTTCTTTCTTTCTTTCTTTCTTTCTTTCTTTCTTTCTTTCTTTCTTTCTAGTTTAGAAAACCAATTATGTTAATATATTTAAATGCAAAAATTATGGAACATGGCAGAGTTGTAAAAGGGGGAAAGTACAGTGAGAAAATAGCACCGCACACAAACTTCAACGCCTGCACAGGTGGTGGAGGTTTCCTAAAATTATGACAATTTCAAATATTTTAGTATTGATATGTCCCATAATGAGCCAAACAGATGGCAAAAACAGAACGACAGCGTCCTCAAATTCAAAACACGCAAAGCGCGTTAAGAAGTCTAACAAGTATATTTTTTTTCTTCTTTTTTTTCTCTTCAGGACACAGAGACATGTGGTAGTGTGGCTATTATCACAAGGGTAGCGCTGGATGAGAGCTCTTAAACGCTCCTCTTCCTTTGAAAGAAAGGGATCTATTTTTTGCCCATTAGCATTGGCATTAAAACTCATTATTTTCCTCGACTGCGCTAACCATCTCCTCCCACGTTAGACATCATTACTGTTATTATTCATATCATTGCTTTAAAGGACAGAGAGATGTCTTGGTTCGTAACGCTCGCATTTGTTCGACTGCTGGTGGGAAGATTTGTATTTTTTTTTTTGTCGAATTATTTTATTTATATATTTTCTTGAAATTGGTATCATAATGGAAGTTATTGTATTGGCAGAGCGTAAAACTGCCGCTTGTTTCTTAATACTGTGGAAGCTCACATGACCTGAAACCTTGAGAAGGAAAATTAAAAATGCCAATTTCATAGCATAACAAGCTACTGTACCTGTGTGGCACGTACCATCAATGAGTTATTTAACATCCCACCCTACACTTGCACTCCCACTCCGTTAGAGTTTAGTTTCAGTTTCCGAATGCTCCTCAAAGTGCTTGTTTTTCAACTCCATTTAATCCTTATCAAACTTAGAGAAAAAATAAAACCGAGAGAGGGAGAGAGGAACAGGGTGGCATCTGTGATCTCTAGTGACCCTTTCCTCACTCTCTCCTGCCAGGCCAGTCTGGGGATTGACACATCAGATGAAGATATGAAGTGGTGGGTGTGCGTGGAGGCGGGCCAGGCGCCCAGCGAGTCCCCGCGCTTCTCACTTGGTTAACACCTCACACAGAGCACAGAGCCAGGAATACACTGCCTCTCTCTCTCTCTGACTAAAACAGTTCATTTGGACCTGCAGGGTCTTCTGCTCCTCAGAGCTTTCACTGATGGAGGTGGGAGATATTCTTAACTAACAGCAGAAAAACAAGAATGATTACTGAACAGTGTTTTATCCCCAATTGTTTGCGTGTACTTTTGTAACTTGTCTTTCATAGTCCATTTTATTATTGAGTGTTTTCTTTAACTACATGCGCTTTTATGTTGCAAGGGTTGATTTACAGATTTCAGCTGTTTTACTTTCACTATATGACTATATTTATAGGGCTTTTATTTTTTTTCTACTTTTCAAATGCATTTTATGTATAGATTTTATTTAGGTTCTATTTATTGATTTATGTCTTTTCTTTTTATGTCACACAGTTATGACATCTTTTCATCATGAGCAGCATTGTGGCTACTATAAGTTTTTATTATTATTAATCAAATGTTAATGCACTTGGCTACTAATGAGACCACAGTGTCAGTTAAGAAAAAAACTGGATATTTGTATTGTGTAAAATTTCCAACCAAGTGATTTGTCAATTTGACGTTTAAAGTTATTCAAATTCATACTTCTATTAAACAAAATACAAACAATGAGATGTGATGGAAATTACACTGTGGTATAAATATTTGACATTTTAGAATACATTTTTATTACAGACAAAATTAAATAAAACTAGCAAAAAAATAAATAAAACTAGTGTGTTAACTTTTCATAAAAATCCTAAAACCATATATGTTACCCCTTTTAATGGTGTGATGCTGTTTAAAACTCAAAATGAGTGAGTTTGAGGAACTCAGACAGGGTTGCCAGGTCTGTGCAATAAAACTAGCCCAATTGCCAATCAAAATAGCCCAATGCTATATCAAAATAGCCCAATGCTATTTTCTCCGGCAGTGACTAGTGGACTTGGCAGCACTGGACTCAACAGTAGCCTATATTTACATGCAAGGAATGTGACATATATTAGCCACACAATGTGTTTAACCACTGCAGAGACTATTTAAATCAAGGCTTAGAAGATTAATAACCAGTTTGGTTAAATCAAGAACGAGAGATCAAAGTCCTCTGCTTTACACGAAAGATTGCAATTCATCCACTAATGGAGAATTAGAGGCAGCACTGCCTCGCAGTTATCACCATAAGACCTACGGTCACCTTTGCAATTATTATATGCAGGACAACAACAAATAGCCATTTGTTCCAAATAATTGTATCACTATTTATTTCAAAAGTTAAGTGTACTTGTCTTTAAGTATTAAACTTTATTTCCATTTTTTTAATTAAAATTTTTTTTGTTATATTTGTGTGTACATTATACTTTTAAAATGTTTGTTTTTTATATATATATATATATTTTTTTTTAATGCTTTATAGTTTTCAGAATTTTAATATTAAAGTTTGAAAATCTTCCTTTGACTTCTATGGAATACAAACAGTGACAATGTCAACATGATAATTACATATTAAATTGTGTTTATGCATAATAAAGAGTGATTGGTCTTGTCATTCTTGCATGTGTTTAACCATCTAGGGCCATCTTTACACTGTAAAGTCTGTTCACAATATGTGTTAATTCTTAAAAACCAATAGATTAAAGAAGATTAGCAAACATAAAACCCAAAGCTGTAACTGTTCTTTTATTCCCTGCAAGCATTGGTTTACTGCAGGAATTGCAAATTTTAATAATATTCTATTTCTTATATTCTAATGTTTGGACGCAGTGTAGTGTGTAAACTTGTGTTTGATCAAAACCAGGGTGACTGGGCTCTGGTTGTTCCTTGCAATTAAAGTTTCATGAATACTGAGACAGGAACTTTGTATGGGTCTCCAATGTTTCTGTAATTACTTTTTGTGGTCACCTTTGAATGGTGATTTTTTGTTTTTAAAGTCTCAATGCTGCTATTAAATTCAGCGTATTTCCTTGTTATTGGTAAGAATATATTACTTTTTTCCACATTCATGCTAGACTGATTTGTATGTTTGAAGAATGCCTAGTACCATTCACACCTTTCTCTCTCTCTGTCTCTCTCTGTCCTCATCCTCATCATCATCGTCCTCATGGTGGTTGTCATCAATAGCTGATTCCGGTTCTGTTGCTCATCAGTGCCGCAGAGCTCTGGTCTATTTTTTCCTCTGTCCTGTTTACATAATCAAGGCAATCACATGATTTATGCTGTCTATGGCATACATAAATGCAAGTTATGATTCATATAAAGATTAACTTTTGAAAAATTACCTCAATGCAGAGTTTGCCCAAGACATCTAAATGTCCACTTAGCTTTGACCCATTAAATGAACTAATGAAAAAATATCATTTCAAACCGATATGACTATCTTTCTTCGATTCATGAGTGAGTCGTTCATTTGAGTTGGATCTTTTTAATGAATTGTTTAGTCCAGTTCACTGAATGATTAATTTTGAATCAATTTGAGTTTTCCAGTCACAACTGTTAACAGGCTAGAAAACTAGAAAACTCGGTCTTCAGAAAACTTGGATTGTAGTGCGTGACTACTTTTATGATGCTTTAAAATATTCTTCAAGATATTTTCATTTGGATTCTTTTTAAAACTCCAATTCCCATTGATTGTAATTGACCGTTCGCAAAGACCCTCTCCCCTTAGTTACTGTTGCTACGTCCGACAAGTTTTCAGTACCAGCCACGGAGTTCTCACGCCACACACATGCACCCTAATGAGATTATAATGGGATTTTGGCAATATTGCGATTCAACTTTACCTCATGTGAACACAACACTTCGATTAAACGAATGCGTTTAAGCTCATAATCGTAGTAAACAATCACTAATAAACTATTTTAATTGCAATAAACAGGCATGTAAACACATTTATTGGCGCTCTGACCATGTGCTCAGTTTGTGTGTTGTTCAACTTCATGAATGAACTCTGTGACATTATTCTGAAGTCAAAACAACTCTTTACTCTCTGATCTTCATGCATAGATGGCGCAAAGAAAGTGGTGCAGTATTGGCAAACCCAGTTACAGCGGCATTGCGATGTTCATCATGCCGCAGAATAACCTTTCAATATGTCCATAGAGATGTGATTTGCATTTGATGAATGTAGATTAAAACAGTGGCCAGTAACACGTCTACTGTACGCGAGTTCATCATTTGTGTTGTGGGGTATGCGAAAAATGATGATAAAAATAACATATAGTGAATAATCAGAATAATGAAAATTGCATGTAAATGGTAGTGAAGAGGTTTGCTTGTGTCATCTTACTGCGATTAAGTCCTTACTATGATTATTGGAAATAATCACATTATTGGTGCACATGTAAACATTCAATGTTCTCACGCAGTGAAAAATACATTTCGGAGCATAGAGGACACTGACAAAGCGCAGACAGACAAGACAAAAAGTCTCAGCTTTCAAATTTTCTCATTTAAAAAAAGAAAGAAAGTAACGATAAAAACCGGTTTGTGACTCTTTAATGTGTCCTGACAGATCGCGGTACACCTCAGTTCAAGCGACACGTGAACCGATGGTCATCTTCCTCTTTACTACTAGTTATAGCACGAAATAAACATGAATGAATATAAGATGGTTTGTTGTTTCAATCGCGGAAAGACGTCAATACACACCATTTTTCAAGTTCAAGTCCACCAACGTTAACCTGCCAACTCTACTGTCTGGATTGTTTTTGGCAAAAATGGTGGATAGCAACGGCGGCACATAATATCGGCATCATGATTGGTCAGATCGCCTGTCAATCAGACTCCTGGCGAAGGGTGAATTGCATGTTGAAGTGTGAATACCACATTGTTCAGTTTTTCTCCTTTTGTGCTCCACAGAAGAAAGAATGTTATACAGGTTTGGAAGGACATGGTGTCAGAATTATCATTTTTGGGTGAACTATCCCTTTTAATACGAAAATACACTTCAATTTCTCATTAATGCAATTATCTAATCAACCAGTCACATGACAGTTGCTTCAAAGCATTTAGGGGTGTGGTCCTGGTCAAGACAATCTCCTGAACTCCAAACTGAATGTCAGAATGGGAAAGAAAGGTGATTTAAGCAATTTTGAGCGTGGCATGGTTGTTGGTGCCAGACAGGCCGGTCTGAGTATTTCACAATCTGCTCAGTTACTGGGATTTTCACGCACAACCATTTCTAGGGTTTACAATGAATGGTGTGAAAAGGGAAAAACATCCAGTATGCGGCAGTCCTGTGGGCGAAAATGCCTTGTTGATGCAAGAGGTCAGAGGAGAATGGGCCGACTGATTCAAGCTGATAGAAGAGCAACTTTGACTGAAATAACCACTCGTTACAACCGAGGTATGCAGCAAAGCATTTGTGAAGCCACAACACGCACAACCTTGAGGCGGATGGGCTACAACAGCAGAAGACCCCACCGGGTACCACTCATCTCCACTACAAATAGGAAAAAGAGGCTACAATTTGCAAGAGCTCACCAAAATTGGACAGTTGAAGACTGGAAAAATGTTGCCTGGTCTGATGAGTCTCGATTTCTGTTGAGACATTCAGATGGTAGAGTCAGAATTTGGCGTAAACAGAATGAGAACATGGATGCATCATGCCTTATTACCACTGTGCAGGCTGGTGGTGGTGGTGTAATGGTGTTGGGGATGTTTTCTTGGCACACTTTAGGCCCCTTAGTGCCAATTGGGTATCGTTTAAATGCCACGGCCTAAATGAGCATTGTTTCTTACCATGTCCATCCCTTTATGGCCAGCATGTACCCATCCTCTGATGGCTACTTCCAGCAGGATAATGCACCATGTCACAAAGCTCGAATCATTTCAAATTGGTTTCTTGAACATGACAATGAGTTCACTGTACTAAAATGGCCCCCACAGTCACCAGATCTCAACCCAATAGAGCATCTTTGGGATGTGGTGGAACGGGAGCTTCATGCCCTGGATGTGTATCCCACAAATCTCCACCAACTGCAAGATGCTATCCTATCAATATGGGCCAACATTTCTAAAGAATGCTTTCA